GCTTAGACTGAAATCTCTAAGAATGTACAGCAGTCGATATCGGCTTTTGCGGGGTGATCTCACAATGGTTTACCAGATTCTGAAGAACCCGAACCCCACTTGTCGTCCTCTGCTATAATGGAACCACAACACTAACCTAAGAGGTCATCCTCTGAAATTAAAAATACAGTATGGCCGGCTTGAATGCCGTAGAAATTTACTTTCCCTTTGCATGTGACAGCTTTCGAACGCCCTTCCTAATTACGTCGTCTGGTGAGACTTAAAACGAGTCGACGATGCCTTGTTTTAGTTGCCTTTCAATTTATGATTTGTTAACCAGGGGCTACAAAACACCAGCAAAAAGTGTCTTATCAAACTCTAAACCAATGGATGTATAGATGTATACTTTTAATAGGCGAATATCTCCGCCATTCTAAATAAGTCTATGTTGAGTCCACCCAAACGCTTTTCACTTAATCATGCAACTTTATTTTTGCAATTATTGCCATCCCACTGGACTTGTTAATCACGGCTTTTTTACTCGTAACACATCATTGTTCCATTGTTCAGAATCTGGAAGGGTCTACCATGTAAGATGAATGACAACAGCGTGGGGGCAACCGAAAAGCCATTGCTTCTCCGCTGTTTAGCGCAGCAAGTACCAGAACCCTTTGTATTAATCGGACTGCATCAGCAATACGTTTGTGTGCAGTACCGACGTTTCACTGCCGAGCAAACGCCCCAGGTCGCATTTGGGCTAAGGATACTGAGAGGGTCTTCCGATAAATATGCAGCCTCGAACCCGCGTAAGCTTGTGATCCTTAAGAATAAGGGATGATAACTGATGCACCCCAGGAAATAGGCACAATTTTTCAGGCCAGATTTTGGAGAATATTGTGGTTAGGTGACTGATAGTAATTGCGCTGTCATATTTTAGGAGCTCCAGGGTAAGTCTGTCTGTACAAGTAACCTTGAATCGCTTCAAATGTTAAAGCGCATGACAAACTTCTGCTTCGCTGATTGGATTAAGTGTAACGACTCAGAACAGCCGGCTGTCTTCATAACACACACAAATGAACGAGGAGGGCCAATTGAACTGGGCATGAAAATGTTCTGCCCATCGATCCGGACATCTCTGTAGTTTAGCAACCGGTGAACCGTCAGCTTGGGAGATAGTCTGGATGATACCATGCTTCTGCGACCAATGAGCCGAAAGAGCAGAATGTGCTTGTGAGTATTGCCAGAGGAGGAAACGACCTCTATTTCCGAAGCACTCTGCAAGGAAGATACCATCTCAGGTAACTGTCGTACCACGATTATTGTAACAACATGGCTAACGTCGGTGGTGATAACATTGCTGGGCTCTATTCTCGTTCGTCGCCTCACTGAGGAACGGAAATCCCGGAACAGGAAAGAGCAAGCAAGTTTCCGCCTAGGACCGGGCTGTAAAGACCACAAGTTCACTGCGACAGGGGTCAAATCAGCGCTACACATACGACAAATCGATAATAGCTGTGTTCTATGACTTCACGGGTGCGTTCGACTCAGTCGAGCAACCCATTCTGTTCGACATCCTAGCGCGGAAATATCTTTTGATGAAAGCATTGACCTTTTACTTGTCCTTTGAGGAAACACAACAGGCCGCCTCAGAGTCTAGGTGCACTTATCTGACATTTTTCGAACCGCAAATGACGGTTGTCAGAGTTGCCCAGATTTCCACTTTTTTGTGCAAATTCGTCCTGGACTCTAGCATGCAGTCTTCCCTTGTTGAATCTTACGATTCAGAGGTTGGACTGCTACCTGGTGGGAAACTAGTTGATCTTGATTATGTGGGGGATATCGTCATACTGTTTAACGATGTTGACTCGGCCTAATCACTCCTGAATACTAACACTTGAGTAGTCTCAACATTAGGCAGGCGCTTTACATCTTCAAAGTGCAAAGTGTTGCTGCAGGTCCACCAGCCACTTGATCACCCCTTAAACGTTGATGACGAGAAACTTGAGGTAGTTGATCAAATCACCCACTTTGGAAGCTGCATGGGCAACACTAGGTGCATAATCATAAGTCATTTTACTTCTCGCAAAAGCCAGAAATGCCTTCTTGAATTTCTCGGCATAAAAGAGTGTTATACCCATGAAATTGAGAAAACACAAGGTAGCGAAGAGCACTCTTTTCGATAAATCTCATCAGGCGTTTACAATTATAAAATGGAATGTTGAAGCGGGATAGGCTGGTGAAGCGAGACATAGATTAGCGAATCAAAGCGAGGCAGAAAGTGAGCTGTCCTAATCGATAAATTGGTCGATCCACTCAAGCAGCGGCTACCACAGTATACGTAGGCAGACATAGACACACACACACATGCTCACGAGACATAGGACGTGCTTTTCAACTGATTGGGTGACGCACTCATCACCCGGTGGTTGTCAGCGTGTGAAGTGGAAGCTGTTTGCAAGTGTGTAAGCCCTAGGGCAGAAGGAGCGCTTGAATAAGCGCCCTCTGTTTGCATAATTCAGGTTGTGTAAGCCTGATCGCAATGGCTTCGGCCGTCCGTAACATTCGTTTCCTAAGCCCCTTGGGGTAGCATTCAGGAACAACATAAAACACTTTGAAAGCATCAGTAGCTTTAATTTGATGTCCATTTTCGACCAGATGTTCTAGGATAGAACTCTTGAAGCAACCGACAGTACCTTTCTGCAATGCCGTGGGACAGTGCTCCGATATCCGTTTAGACAGACGCCTAGTCGTATTTCCGAGGTACTTCACACCACAGGTGCAAGTAAATTGATATAGAATATAAGATTCGGACTGGACCGGGAGTCTGTCTTTGAGACTTTGGGCAACAAACGGCACAGTTTCGACAATGATGTGTGGATATGCAGCTGAAAACGTTCGAGCTACTGCAGCGGAAACTTTTGTTCAGCAAATCGAAAGCAATATCTCCCTTAAAGGGAACTGATAGAAACACTTTCTTGGGGACAGTTATAACCCACTTATGACGATCATGAATCACTGCGTGCTTTAGGATGAAGTGGGCTAGATAACCGCTTTCTGTCTTTCTGCCTCGCTTTGATTCGCTAATCCATGTCTCGCTTTAACAGCCTATCCCGCTTCAACTTTCCATCTTATAATTGTAAACGCCTGATGAGATTTATCGAAAAGAGTGCTCTTCGCTACCTTGTGTTTTATAAAAGAGTGTGTTCACATAGTTACAGTGATGGCCGTCCTACTGTATATTTGAGACTTAGGCTCTTCAATCTGAGGACCTGAGGCGCCTTCGAGTATTTTATCATCGTTGCCTGAGGAACATTGCTGGTGTCGGATAGTACCACCGTGTCCACAACGCAGACGCAGGCAAGTACCATACATTGATAATGCTAGTTCCTTAGAACAACAGAAGGAACTGAATAAGCTGCTTTAGCCTGTGCAGGTATTATATATTCCGAGGAGGTATTTTGTTTGCCAGACGTCGGGTGGCGCAATGCTAGAGGTGGGTAAAAGTTAACTTGGCAGCCGGAAATGAAGTCACTGACGACCAAATTGGGTACCGTTGGTCGTTTGCACTTACTGGGCTGGAGACCACGTGACCCGTCTTTTGTTTGGCTTGAGGTGTTACGGGATATAAAATAAAAAAATAAAATTGTGTGTTGCCCAGTTGTGCAGTGTTTCCGGGTGAGCAACATCCAATTTCTACATATTCTCCATGTTACATTAGGCGCAACGAAGAAGGCGTGGTTAGCAGTTGGCAACTTTCACGCCTGCTGTTTCTCATTGGTGGACTGCCTAATTAAATTGTGCTTGATACTGTTTTCTTCGAAGTAATCTTTGTTTATGATGCGATGCAATGAAAGCCGAAAGGAATTTGTCTCGTCTACGCCGCCTTATCTATGTACGATAGCCAGCTCATTGTGATTATATGTTGCTGACATAGCGTAAATGCTTGACGTTAGTGTTTGTTTAGGGCATTACAGTTTTACTCTAGGTCCTTCTTCTCTATCACTTACTATTCTTCGTTTCCGTAGAAGACTGTGGTTATACCGCTGCGAATCATCAGTTCAGACGCCTGATGTGATGCTGTCGATTATGATGATAATATTGATTCCGCTGGCAGTCAACTACCAGTCTGAAGATACTGATGCCATCCATCTAGTGCAACACACAGAAGTCCCTGAGAAGCATTTAGAAAAGGGTGTTGTACTCCTGGTATACTACTTATTTAATTTCTTAATTGGTGGGTGCTAGATATGCCCCCAATATACGGTGGACAGGAAGTAGCTATGCTTCTCAAATTTACTTTCCCAACTTATGTCCAAATACATCATTATCTCCCTAAGGTTCGGTGTTCATGCTCGGAATGGGGTTTAGATCAAATATGTATTAATCGTGTATTATTCATGCTCAAATATCGTCAGCTGTACCCCGTAACGGCCCTTTGCTGCCGCGCGAACACTACCAGTGTCGTGTGGGCTGATTAAACCTCGAGGCCACCCGACCTTACGCCGATTAGAACCGGTGACCTATAAGTGCAGCTAAGTGTGCAGACCACTCGGTCACCGGCCGACCGAACGCCTTGCTGACAACATGTGATGTTCACTAAGGTTGTCTTTTATCGCTGTATACTGTCATTGTGTTTTCCATTGCGGAATCACACGATGCAGAGGTTAGTAAGTGTGGTCTGTTGAGAACTGCTTAAGCTGGATTAGACGGATGACGTCACTTTGGTGTTGTCCCCCGGTCGCCGAGAGTATTACACGCATGCTTTGTAATCCGAAGTTCGCCGTTGTACTTATTCCGCGCTCGACTGTTTGTTGTGGCGTGGCAGTGAAGCGTCTCTACGAAGTGCCGGTGTACGGCTCGTGCCATCCTACGTCAAATGATCCGTAACTTTAAAGTACAATGTACGGTCATCGAAAGCTGTGTTTCCAGATAAACTTCGTAGTATCAGACAGTGGTGAAATACGATTTTAAATCTGTTTGACAGTATTTACCTATACCTTCTTCACTTTCGTTAATTGCAGCACTGCGTAAGTTGGTTCGTCGTCGATTGGCAGAAAGGGAAGTGTCTCGAAAACGAGATGTAATCAAAGAATATGCCACACCGTCGTCACAACCTTTCGCCCCTTTGACGCGGCTTGGGGTATTTCCGGACAGGGGATCTGAGAAGTTTGTAGTGAAGAATCGGTACCTAACTACGTATGAAGGTCAGTGTGAGCCGCACTGTTCGCAAGTGTTTGCCTAAATCATTCCTGAGTTTTGTTGGTTAGGTTAACTATCATATATACCATCATACTATGAAATTTTTGATTTTGTATATCGTAAACCATGAATCCAGGAATAAATGTATATCTATTATTCGTAGTTGGTGGGTTTTCTTCTCTCTCTAACACGCAGGGCAGTGATCAACCTAAGATCCACGGTTTATAGATTAGTACCTCCTTCTGTGTTAAACACCGGCCAATTCCATGTTATGACTTTTGTATTTAATTTGGATTAATAATGAATTCATTAGAGACGGAAAACACTTACCCAATGGGGCAATATAAACCACCGAAATCTGGAGAAAAAGACTGTATTGGACAAAGTGGCAAAGGAAACGTGTATAAGAAAAAAGTAGCGACATTTTCTGGTTTTTTGCAGCACCCACGGTGTGTTGGATTGCGACGCGCAATCTCACAAGTGGCGGCTGTTGACTTGGAAGTCGGCCTCTGCCAATACGGTCACTGGGACCGTCACCGACATTTTCATTATAAATTTTAGATATAGGCGGAAAGCACATCAGCCGCAATACAAAAGAAAAGAAAACACATATGCAACAATGGCGCACCAGATGGGTCACCAGTAACGGGTGGACATCGTTTCGGATAGCTGACCGTCGGCTGTTATGTAGTAATAAAAGATTTATCTTAGGCTTAATAAAAGAGATCGTGGTTGGTGTGGTAAACTAAGAGGGATGTGGAGGGACTAAGAAACTCACAACACGAACGCCACTGAGATCGGCTTCTCGCCATATCAACAATTGTATCCATCCAAACGTGTTCTTGGTCCTTCGGTCCCCAACTAGGGAGCCGGGAGCCTTCAAAAGAGGCCAACTTCGAAGTAAGGGCCCACATTTCTCGTGAGCAAGTCATCGTTTGGCAACCCCACCTATTCGTTAATCCCCACCCCAGAGCGCAAACCAAGCAAATCGCGGGAGTCAGTGGGCTAGCATGCGCATCATGTGGTCCAGCCACCGGAGCCTGGTGGGTGAAATAACGGTGCTGAACGCTTCTCTTCTTCTTCCTGCGCCATAAACAAAGGGGTGAACACGCTCATTGCCCACACAAGTAACGGCAAACTAATGCATAGTAATACAACATAGCAACTAAGGAGACGAAAGGACACCAGGTGCACATGTTTTACCACAGGTAGGACTGGGGTCCAGGTATCCGTGTGGGACACAACTATTCGAGTTCTACATTACCATGACATTGACTCACTACAAATATGTTCAGGAAGTCCGTTCAAGGAAACCTGTGCTTTCACCGAAAATTTAGTAACCATTTGCACGTGAAGACAGCTAACTTTGCGCCATTTTTAAACGGTGATGATGCTCAATACTCTACGCAAATCTAGCTCAGTAACAACTGCCTTAGTATAAAAACACAAATTGCGTGATGCAACCGCAAGGAGTGACACAACTTTCGCACATTCCATTTAAAAGTAAACCAGAAAGTTTTATGAGAGCATCAAACTCTTGTTTGTGGTGATGGTGCTACATTCCGAGCATGACCATCCACAGTTACCCATGCGATGATGTTTTTCAAACATTAAGAATTCCTTCCCCTATTCCTTGTTTGCTCCAATATTCGATAGCCCCCTAGCTCCTTTGCTAGTGGCTGTACTTCGATCTGAAATTAACTGCACTTCAATGTCTTGTAACGTTTTTAAGTGAATCCGAGTACTCTAAGAACGTGAACCGCGTAGCGGATCTGAGTTGTTTTGTCACTACGGGTTCACGGTTGGTGCTCTTTCATTGAAAGACGAACGAACTCTGACTGGCATCAGTTGTACAAATTTGGTGTGTAGTCTATTTGCATGTGGGTCATCCATTTCGGCCGAGGTGCTATCAGGTCGCAGTAATTATTTTACCCACAGAAAAATGAATACTGGTTTCCATACGTAGACGGAATTTAATTACTGAACAGTTCCATAACTAAGGAAACTGCCCCTGTGTTGCTAGTTACAGTTTGACACATATTAGCCGACTGAAGATATTTAGCAGCGTACCTACGCTGGGAACTAGAAAGTGCGATAAGTAAAGAGTTCAGTGCGCTTGGAATATCGGTTACCGGAAGCCTTGAACCGGTTCGGAACAAGCTGTGTTCCAGACAGTAGTAAATGAAATATACGTCTGCTCAACCAACACCACAAGATGGTTAACATTCAGAGAAATGGACTAATGTGAGGTATGGAAAGTCAAACTGGCTTAACACACCAAGAAAACCATCTACTTCCTCAGACATATATGCAATCTTTATAACTGCAAAGCGGAGAACGTTTTAGGCACATTCTGGCTGAACAATATATTTACGCTATTTGATAAACTTCAAGCGATTCAGTTGAGTTTGGATCATCCGAGGAGCATAATGGCAACAATTTAGATGGTTAAGTTTAATTAACCAGCCGCGCGATGAATTTGAGCTATTGTTTTGGTAACCTTACATTGCTTTTTAGTATGCTAAACTCAATACCCAATTTAAATCTTTCACTATGTGAAACGGAAGGACAAACCTAGTGAGGTGGAAATTCCATGGTTCTACTTCAACACAGAAGAAGTTGAATGAGCTTTCTTGATGCACATTCCTTGCTCTCGGTTGACATTCTTGACAGCCATCGACGGAAATCGACAGGGCGTTAACTGACTTTTTCGTGAGCTTTTAATGGTTCCATCGTTTCTTATTTAACGAAGGTGGAATGAGGGCACTCAAGAAGAACGCGAGTAACATGGAAACCTGTACAACAGCTAATGGATTGGAACGTCCAGTAAATGAACAGATTCTAAAGGATCGCCATGTCAAGTTATGCGGTCAGTATTTAAGCGGAGGATGCTGACCATCCCTACGCGGTCAATGGATGCTACAAGTGTGTCACAAACAAAGTTCATCGAAAGAGTCTTCTGTACAGCATGTCTTTGGCTGTGACATCGTCGACCCGTTTAACCAGGATAGCTTATTCAGACTGGTTTCAGCGTAAAGGAAGATGAGGACGATTAAGATTCACAGCAGCGCAAATATTACCGAGTCAATAAAGCAAATGCAGACAACTCACAACCAAATGGTCGCACCCTGGTTGCGTGGTACGGTGAACGGGTTAATTGCCTGGACGCTTTACTATAACCTTTCATGAGCTGTCCACAGGTGAAAAAGCATGTTCAGTACGTGTAGTTGGTTATTTGAAAGGGAGTAGTTATATGGCTTTAAAAAATGCTCCAGGTCAATAACTGCGTACTATTGCGATGTGTCCAAGTAGATTCCACATATCTGCAAGCATACGGTGCTGCTTAATGAGATAAATAATAGGTGGGCTAAACAAGCGTGTTCCGCGCGGGCAAAACTTCTACGAGGAAGGCACATGCACACACTTGCCTCAGATAGCGATTCTGTTCGACTTCACGCATTTCAGTGACGTTCACTTTTGGACCTTCCACATTCGGACTATGGGATGTACTTTTCACTTAATGCACACAGCACAACCACTTTATCAAAATTATGCACCGGCTGAACCAAGGAATTTGCCGCATAAACATATTACAGATAATGATCACGGAGTATTACTCTAAGTACAATAGTAACGCCGATGGAATCCCATGCAAGAATATTTAGGCTCGTAATGAGGACACTCAAGGAATCTTTTTAAGCCTACTTTAACTGTCGATCACGAAGTGTGAGAAACAAGCGGGCTCGGCATGTGTGTACTAGATGAGATACTAATGATAATGGGTACATACCTCATCTATATTCGTGCACATCACACGTACACAGGTAATATCATGCTCTTGCATAGGCAATATAATTAGGTTGTTATAATTCTCCGTGTTTATGGCAAGCATTGTCTCATGTTTGTGTTTTATGCGAAGGTAGGAGGTACTTTTGTAGTTTGAATATTTTGCAATCAACGAAAGCTAATTAAATTGCGTAAAGTTATAGTATTTCACCTATAAGGCGGTTTAAGGGACTTCATTGAGTAGATCATTGATTGAACTTCCTCAAATACAAAATGGCATAATGATTTCCAAGTCGAGGTAGCTACCCAGCTTTCTGTGATATGATTGCACAGTCTCACACGACTGACTGTGATTGGGACCGATTCCACAGTGTAGCACATCTGATTAGAAACAGGTTAAAGCGCAAATTCATTCTGCGTCGCGTTATAACCAGGGTAAAGTCTTTGTTACGAAGGTCCCCGTGGGACTGTGTTGCGGTGATACTGTGGGTAGATTGCAATAGGCATTGCCCTGAATCAGATTGTACAGCAGTATGCGTTTATGCTTTGATCGTCGCAGCCAAACCGGATCGAAGTAGAGTTGTTGGCAGTGCTCCCGATAGTCCTTGTTTGAACGTTTGGCTAATCGGTTTTTAGCAAGTGACCGTTGCAGACTTTCTCCCACTGTTCCGTCAGATTTCCTCATTTTGGCTGCGATTATGCTGCAAGGGTGTATCTAATAATGTTTGACTCTGCTTGTAATTAGGTGCACCTTACTTGATACATTAAGCAAGGATTGTCTGGATTTTGCTAGCTTGGAATCAGTCTGTTTAGAAAAGTTGAAGGTACTTGATTAGCTGATTTCGAAGCCACGGATAGATTGGTGTACGCTTTTGAGTGTGGTAGATCATTCGGGTATCATACAACCTCGACACATGACACATGAATTAGCAGCAAAAATCATCATCCACTCGTCGCACCATGTCACAAAAGAAATAAATGTCTGCTAGAATGAGTAGTAATACCTTCTGAAGGTCAAATCATCGGAACTCGTAGCCAATATTTAAATCGCCAGCAAATCTAAACGGCACGCCATGTTCTGTATCTGAAATGACGTCATCGATATAAAACAGGAAAAGTAGTGGGCCGAGCACAATCCAATATACGTCGCTGGTAATTATAGGTGGGGAATAGCGATGTTCACCTAGGGTGATTAGTTGAGAACGACCGTTCAGATATG